TATTTTATAAATAAATAAATAAAATATTGAAACTCTTTGGTGAAACTTTGTTATTCTGGGTCTTCCCTCTGAATTTCTCTCTTTATATCAATTAATAAATATTTTATAATAAATAAATAAATAGGTAATTTGTGTTAGAGTATAATATAAACTCTTTTAAAAACTCATTTTATATCAATTAATAAATATTTTTTATTTTAATAATTTTAGTCTAATTAGATTTTTTTTTATTAAAAAACTCATAATAAATAGATAAATAGGTAATTTGTGTTAGAGTTTTATAAAAACTCTTTGAAAACCTCTTTTTGTATTAATTAATAAATAATTTTCTATATTCATAATATTTTTTTAATTAGATTTCATTTTATGAAAAGCTCATAATAAAAGTTAATTTGTGGAAGAGTTTAAAAAAAATTAGGTAATTTGTGATAGAGTTTTATAGAAATTGTTTTATTTTCTTTAAATATATCCGTGTCTAATATAATTTGATTTTATTAAGAAAATCATAATAAAAGCTAATTTGTGGTAAAGTTTTAGAAAAATTAATATATTTTATATATCAATTAATAAATATTTTTTATATAAATAATTATTATCTAATTAGATTTTCTTTTATTAAAGAATTCATAATAATAAATAGATTAATAGTTTAATTTAAATTTATTAGGTAAATTTTAGAGTTAGATAATTTGTGATAGATTTTATAGAAAATTTTTATTTGCTTTAAATATATTATTGTTTAATTATATTTTTTATTAAAAAAACTCATAATAAATAGATAAATAGGTAATACATGTTAGAGTTTTATAGAAAATATTTTTAAAACTCTTTTTTATATGAATTAATAAATATTTTTATATTTTAATAATTTTGTCAAAATAGATTAGCTTTTATTAAAAAAACTAATAATAAAAGGTAATTTGTGATAGAGTTTTAGGAAAATATTTTTATTTTTTATATCAATTCAAAAATATTTTTTATATTAATAATTCTTGCCTAATTAGATTTTCTTTTAAAAAAAAACTTATAATAAATAAATAAATAAGTCATTTGTGTTAGAGTTTAATATAAACTCTTTTAAAAATTCTTTTTATATCAATTAATAAATATTTTTTATTTAAATAATTATTCTCTAATTAGATTTAGTTTTATTAAAAAATTCATAATAAATAGATAAATAGGTAATTTGTGTTAGAGTTTTATAGAAACTTCTTTGAACCTCTTTTTATATCAATTAATAAATAATTTTTTACACTAATAAAACTTGTCTAATTAGATTTCCTTTTATTAAAAAACTCACAATAAATAGATAAATAAGTAATTTGTGTTGTAGTTTTGTAGAAACTCTTTAAATATATCTTTGTCTAGTGTGATAGAGTATTATTGAAAATAAAATAAGTAATTTATGATAAAATTTTATAAAAATTATTTTATTTTTTTTAAATATATCCTTATCTAATTAGATTTAATTTTATTAAGAAACTCATAATAAAAGCTAATTTGTGGTAGAGTTTTAGAAAAATTATTTTATTTTACATATCAATTAATAAATATTATATTGGAAAAATTAATTATTATATGTTTTGAATTTTAGTATAATTTGAATTTTAATTAAATTCTTTATTGTGAATTAAACTCTTTTTATGAATAGGTTTTTATTAATGAGAGTAGTATAGTATAATTTGAATTGTGAATTAAACTCCTTTTATATTTTGTTAATTATAATTTTATTAAGTAATTATTGTTATTATAATTTAGTAATTTATTACCTTGGAAGCATGTGGTAAGTTTCAGAGTTTTGGGGGGTTTTCAAATTAGGAGAGGTTGTGTTGTATTTTGTTTTTCCTGCTTGGTTGGTTATTGCATATTGGTTGGTCTTTGTCGTTTGATGTATTAATTTTGCTTTCCAAGATATCATTTTTAGTGTGGCTTTCAGATCAAATATGGTATTTAATTTAAATATGTTTGTTCTCAAGTGTGGAAAGAATTATTTGGTCCATTTGGGTTTGGTTTAAGTTTTTAATCCGTTCCTGCTGCAATCGTGGGATATAATAATTAATGAGAGTAGTTATTATATTTTGTGTGAGTAGTATAGTATAATTTGAATTTATTATATTTTGTGTGAGTTGTAGTATACTGCAATATTTAGTACTACACTTGATCTTAGTCAAAAGGCCGAGAAGGTGTGATTATTATTTCTTTAGCTCTATAGTTTTATAAGAGGCTTTCATGTAATTCTTTTTACTTAAAACCAATGTGGGACTTTGTAATTTGAATTAAACTCTTTTTATATTTTGTTAATTTTAATTAATTTTAATTTTATTAGGTAATTTTGAGTTTTATAGAATTTTTATCGTGGGATATAATAATTAATGAGAGCTCTTTATTGTGAATTAAACTCTTTTATATTAATTTTAAGTTTTATAGAATTTATATCAATTAATAAGTCAATACTGAAACTCTTTGCATAAAGGCCGAAAAAGTAAGGCTACATTTGATCTTAGCCAAAAGACCAAGAAATGTTAGCCAAAAGGCCGACCCAAAAAAATTTAGTACTACACTTGATTTTAGCCAAAAGGCCGAGAAGGTGTGATTATTATTTCTTTAGCTCTATAGTTTTATAGTGACTTTAATGTAATCCTTTTTACGTAAAACCAACGTGGGACTTTATAATTTGAATTAAATTCTTTTTATATTTTGTTAATTTGAATTAATTTTAATTTTATTAGGTAATTTTGAGTTTTATAGAATTCATATCAATTAATAAATAAATACTTATTTTGTTAATTTGTATTAATTTTAATTTTATTAGGTAATTTTGAGTTTTATAGAATTTATATCGTGGGATATAATAATTAATGAGAGCTCTTTTTTGTGAATTAAACTCTTTTCTATTTTTTTAATTTGAATTAATTTGAATTTTATTAGGTAACTTTGAGTTTTATAGAATTTATATCAATTAATAAATAAATACTGAAACTCTTTGCACAAAGGCCGAGAAAGTAGTACTAAATTTGATCTTAACCAAAAGACCACGAAAGGTTAGCCAAAAGGTCGACTAAAAAAAATGTAGTACTACACTTGATTTTAGCCAAAAGGCCGAGAAGGCGTGTTTATTATTTCTTTAGCTCTATAGTTTTATAAAACGCTTTCATGTAATCCTTTTTACTTAAAACCAATGTGGGACTTTGTAATTTGAATTAAATTCTTTTTATATTTTGTTAATTTTAATTTTATTAGGTAATCTTGAGTTTTATATAATTTATATCGTGGGATATAATAATCAATGAGATCTCTTTATTGTGAATTAAACTCTTTTATATTTTGTTAATTTGAATTAATTTGAATTTTATTAAGTAATTTTGAGTTTTATAGAATTTATATTAATTAATAAATAAATACTGAAACTCTTTACACAAAAGCAGAGAAAGTAGTAGTATACTTGATCTTAGCCAAAAGACCAAAAAAGGTTAGTCAAAAGGCCAACCCAAAAAAATTTAGTACTACGCTTGATTTTAGCCAAAAGGCCGAGAAAGTGTGATTATTATTTCTTTAACTCTATAGTTTTATAAGAGACTTTCATGTAATCCTTTTTACTTAAAACCAATGTGGGACTTTGTAATTTGAATTAAACTCTTTTTATATTTTGTTAATTTAAATTAATTTTAATTTTATTTGGTAATTTTGAGTTTTATAGAATTTATATCAATTAATAAATAAATATTGAAATACTGAAACACTTTGCACATTTAATAATAGTATAGATATAGAGTTTATATCGTGGGATATAATAATTAATGAGAGCTCTTTATTGTGAATTAAACTCTTTTATATTTTGTTAATTTGAATTTATTTGAATTTTATTAGTTAATTTTGAGTTTTATAAAATTTATATCAATTAATAAATAAATACTGAAACTCTTTACCCAAAGGCCGATAAAGTAATACTATACTTGATCTTAGCCAAAAGACCAAGAAAGGTTAGTCAAAAGGCCAACCCAAAAAAATTTAGTTCTACACTTGATCTTAGCAAAAAAGGCGAGAATGTGTGATTATTATTTATTTAGCTCTATAGTTTTATAAAAGGCTTTCATGTAATCATTTTTGCTTAAAACCAATGTGAAACTTTGTAATTTGAATTAAACTCTTTTTATATTTTGTTAATTTGAATTAATTTTAATTTTATTAGATAATTTTGAGTTTTATAGAATTTATATCAATTAATAAATAAATATTGAAATACTGAAAAACTTTGCACATTTAATAATAGTATATATATATATATACACACACTTCTATTATATATACAGAGAATAATATATATTTTGTTCTTTTTGTGTTCTCTGGTTGAAAACCTATGAGCCCATGAGCTCAAATTTTTAATTTTTAATTTTTTAAGCTTCCTTATTTCTCTTAAATGAATAGTTAGTTCTATTTATACGGTTCTACCTAAAAAATCTTGAAGTATTGTTTTAATTTAAATAATATAAATGAATATAAATAATTATATTTTTAAATTTAATAATTCATTATTTTATTAAACCTTTGATAAAAATAGACATTATTAAACACAATTTTTTTTTTTTTTTTTTTGTATTTGAAATCATAACGGTACAATAATATTTTTTTTTTTTCATTTTCATTCTATCTAAACTAACAAACTATTATTTTCATACAATTTTTTCAAATAAATTTTTATACTAACCAAATGTTTGATAGAAAATATTTTTTTTTTTTCATTCACTTCACTTTACTTTCTTTCATTTTTCATTTCTTTTTTATTTCTCTCTAGAGTAGGGCTCACATTGACTCCTTTTCATCCACGGCTGGAATATGAGTACCAAATAGTGACGTGGTATGTTTCAAATCTCATCACACATCACATTACCCATGTCTCTATCTATTAATATAAAAATCCTCATTAATGATTGTATTTAATAATATTTGCTTCCTCCTTAGATTGATTTCTCCTATAATTCTCTTTCATTGAGGTGCAAATATAAATGTAATCGTTCTCAAAATTTTACTTCACCTTGTGCAAAATACAAACCACATAAATAGGATCTTTGCAGCCATCTCTGACCACTAATAAAATAATGATGCACATGTAACATCAATTGACATTACAATAAGCATCTAAAAAATATGGCATCTATATCGACTACGCAAAATTGTAATCAAAAGTCACGTAACCCATGATCATTGTGTGCCTTTTAATTCACAATTATATCTGCCCATTTCCTCACTTGCGTACTTGCTTTTTCTGCCTGCAATTTTGAAGAATAATTTATCAAATAAAATGAATCTAATAATTATATATATATATATATGTGCGCGTGTGAAAGAAGAATTGCAAAGTATAAAAAAGGTTTTACCTCTTTCTCCCAATCGCAACGTATGGTAATGGTGGCTAATATTAAAGTTTGAATTACAGTTCCTCCGAATATCATTCCAGCCCATATTCCCTGATTATTATAATTTTATACATATACAAAATGTTAGAAAATAAATTCCAAAACATAAGGAAGAAAAAAGGAAAAAATGCTAAGGCTGCAATTTTCCCCACAATAAAAAGCAAATTTAGCCAGTGATATCATTAATACATAAATATTTTTTCAAAGTCTATATAACCTTCTATTTTTCAATTCCATTATTACGTAAATACCAGTAATAACAACAATAATAATTAATTAATTAATTCGCACTTACCATTACTCCCTGGTGAAAAATCCATTCCATTGCAAATCCGAGTGGGAGCCCAATCAAATAATAGCAACCTAGGTTGATGTAGGCCACAGATGATTGCCACCCCGATCCCACAGCTACCCCTACATTATTGAAAGAAAAACAAAATTGGAAAACCAAAATGTCAACCATATATTTGTTTATAAGTGAAAAAAAAAAAGAAAAAGAAAAAAAAAATAAAAATAAAAAGAAGAAAAATGTATGTGATTGGAAGGGCTAAGAAGGAATTCTCACCCGAGAGAACTGGTTGGACACTGTTGAGGAGAATGGTGAAGGCTAAGAGAATTGAGAGGTTATTGACGGCTTCCAAGATAGGTTTGCTATTCGAAAATATTAAAGCGAGTTCATTGTGCAAAATCATAATCAATAGCCAAAAAAATAGACCAAGCCCTATAGATGTCATCACCGAAACTTTGGTGGCAAACTTGGCTCCTTTTCCGTTGCCTGCTCCAAGCTCATTTGCTACCCTTACTCTGTATCGTATAATTATAAACATGGATTAAATAACTTTAATTTACTGTTCAAAAAAAAAAAAGAAAACATTATCAATGAAACGCAACTTTAACTTCATCTTTTCACACTACTTAATTTTCCTTATATATTGATATAATTTACTTATCAAAACTTTCATATTTTTTGTGCCTAGTAATTAAACCGAAGTTGTGAAAATAATAATAGCTACAATCACTGTTTGACATAGATATGAAATTAGAATCTGATTCTCCTTTGGTGTTAAAATAATAATAAAAAAATAATAAATCGAATTGTTTATAATTTACTAAGTTTTGTTTGCTCTTTAGCGCAATACGTAATTCAAAAAAAAATGACAAGTAGTGATTGTCCGTACAATTAATATAATGTTTTTAGAGCAACCGGTATAGATAGATTTTTGCAAGCAAATGAGTCAATATTGCGATAGTAAAGAAAGTTGTGGTGCTAGCTAATGATGGGCCAGCACATTTTGCTAGTAATCTCGATCGCCACAGTTAACAGCCTAGTTGCTAGCCCAAAGTGGGCCCAAAGCTTCACTTGTTTGTTTGTTGCCTTCTTGTTAATAAAAACACAATGGATCTTGACTGCAAAAATTAATAAAATAACAGATAGCAATCACCATACGGTCAACTTTAACTAACAAATTATTATAATTATAATTAGTCACGTCAGCATGCTGACGTGGCTAGCAATCAACATTTGCATTGCCAGCCAGTATAGCAATACCGGCTGCCCTTAAGACTAAATTAATAAAGCTGAAGTGATGAGACCGGCTGAGTCACAACTCGTAGAAAATGTTAAAAATTTTACTGATGTATGGACATATGGTGGACCCTGTGTTAACGATAAATATATGATTGAGCATTAGATCTAATAATCACACATGCTTGAACCGGATCTATAAATATTATAGGATCCCATGTGTCACACTAATTTTTTGTACCATAATAGTTAGCTCAAGACGGATGAAGATTTACACCATCTTTATTATATATATATATATATTGTTATGACACTCATAAAGAAAATAAATAAAAAATAAAATAACATCATCTAAAAATGAAATGGCCTACATAACTTTCATTTTTTTTTTTTTAAATTTCATTTTTTTTATTTATAATTAAAAATAATGTATCATAATAATCAGATTGTGTTGTAACAGGGTCGATAATCTAAGTATAAATTGTCTTATTTTAAAATTTATTCGTAGAGGCATTTATTTGCACAAAGACAAATGAAAGTAATTAAAAAACACGTTACCCAGTAGCAGCAAAGAATGATAGAGGAATCATCATCTCCCATCCGTTAATTGTCATACTGAAACATGAAAACAAAACACACACAAACCATAAGAATAACAGAGTTTTGTACTCATAAATTGCAACTAAATTATATTCACGAGAATAATTTTATTTATTTATTTTTTATTTATGATGCTAAGAATGAATGGATTTAAACAATATTATTTAATTTATAATAGTGCTAAGAAAAAAAATATTTTAAGACAGTTAAATTGGTCAGTCAGGTGACGTGTACAGGTGAAATCCACACCTATCAAAAAGTAAATAAAAAAGTAAGTGTTTTTATTGTCTTGCCTATTTAGTCCGCTTGCATATCATTATGCTTTAATAACAATAATGACAAATTGACAACTAGCATGTGGTACAATTTGCTCACCATATGGACAAAGCATTCACAGCAACTTCTGCATTGCTCACATTTCCAACCATCAATATCAGTATTCTGTAATACCAATTCTCCAAACTGTACAATCAAACAAAAACCAAACACACATCATAAATTTATCAAATATTAAGGATGTGTTTAGTAGGTTTTGGAATTAAAGAAAAATAATTTAAAAAGTTAGATTAAAATTTTCTTCAATTTATCAATTTCAATTTCAATTTCAATTTCATCCTCCCAAACACAACCTAATTGAAATTTGCAGAGATTAAGAAGAGTACCAAAGCATGACTCCAGAAGCAGCGGAGATTTTGACGAAATCCCAGATACCAGAAAAGGCTTCGAAGGAGAAACCGGTCCAAGTACGAGGACATCCACCCCAAACTGTGTAACCAAACATGCCTAACACCACTACCCACCACGAGAAATTGAGAGTAATGGCGGTTCCCACCACTCCGAGCTTGAGACAGTATACAAACAACCAGCTAACAAAGATGTGCACCAGCAGAGCCACCAGATTGACCCACGCGATCACGCCGTTCTTGAGCTGGCTCTGGAAGAACCTCTGCAATGGAAACTGGAAGGCAAAGCTGAAGTGAAGTGGGACTAGCCAGAAAGCCACCACCCCAGATAGCTCGGCTATGTCCTCTGGCTGTCCCAATAGCTTCAAGATTGGAGATGCAAATAGGTACAAAGGCAAGAGTAGTACACAGCACATGAAAAGCACAATCCAAGAACGTTGCATGTACACACCCAACATGTGGTACCTCTTCGCTCCAAATGCTTGCCCACATAAAGTCTCCAAAGCACTTGCCATTCCCAGCTGATCATTCATCATACAAACCAAAACAAAATCATTAAAAATGCAAATGATCCGAGTTGAGGGAACGAAAGTGAGAGTAGTACCAAGAGGCCGAAGTCGAAGCCAACGATGACATTGTTGACGATGGAGATGGCAGCGAGTTCGAGGTCGCCCAGATGGCCGGCGAAGGCTTGTGTGATGACGAGCATGGAGTAGGAGGCGACGCGGCTGAAAATAGCGGGGCCCACTATGTGCCAGAGCTTCTTTGATTCGATCCAGATCCTCCGTGAGAGATCAGGGTCGTCGTCATTTTCTTGGTATTTTGATCCAACGGTCGGACATGAATAGTCCAATAAAGGTAGTTTTGCTTCATCTGCTATTGTGTCCTTGGTCGCCATTTTTGGTGTGGTCTCTCACTCTCTCTTGTTTACAGTCTCTCTTTGGAATACACAGAGAAAGAGAAGATCTATAAGCAATTAATAGATTTGTATAAGCACATTAACTTGCATTGTCGTGTATTTATATACGCACATAAGGAGGCGGCTTCGTCACACTAGCTAGTCGCTGACCACCGCATGCCTATTCTCGCCCGCGTAATGATTCCAGCTGACAACCGATAAAAAGAAGCTCCTAACTACAAAGAAATAAATAAACAAGTCGAAATTAAAAAAATTAAAGAGAAATAATAATGATAATCATTATTTAATAATTTTATAAATTTGTGAACTGTGACATTTGTTGGTCGATCCTTTCCATATTGAAGTGGCTCATGTTGGATTTGGATTCAAGTCAGTTTCACGTGGATTTAGTTAGTCCAGTTCATATGTTTTGCTTTGCTTCTTTGATCCGATAGTAGACGACAATTTGGTTAAATCAATTTAATTGTAATATCGATATCTTTTAAGAATTCACAGGAATTTCTATAAAAAAAATTCAAATCTAGGGTTTAGTGTGTGTGAGAGGACAATGCGCATAGATTCTAGTGGTGGTGTTGGAGTCCTTGTTTTGTAGAGTACCGAATGAATTTTGTGAGGGTAAATGTGACTGTAATGGGTTTTTAATTTAAATTGATTTTTAAAATTATTTTGGAAACATGGTTGAGGGTGAAAGAGTTTAAAAGGTTTTTTGAAATGGTTTTTAGAAGTATTTGGTGAAATTTTTAATTTTTAACTAAAACATTACTGTTCAACGAACTCGACGTGGCAAAACAGTAGCCATAGAAATTTGAACCGAACCAACTGGATGAACAAAACTGGACTGAATCCAAGTCCTCATGTATAAGATTCCCCCGGGTCCTACCTACCTAACACTAATCTTCTTTCTGGTCTCCCAGGTACTGATGTGCTACAAAGAATGTAATGTACGTACGTACTGGTGATTAATTATTTTTTCATAATAAAAAAAAATGAATATTTGTTCATCGGACTAATACAATAAACTGCGGATAGTTCAAGATATTCAAATTTTCTTTTTCTAACAGTAAGGCAGCCGTATTAAACTTTTATTTTTGTGAGATGCCGAAGCATCCGGAAGTTTTCCATGGATCAGATTGGGATTCATGAAGATACTACATATACGGCTATGGAGTGATTGACAGCCTGAACATCACATGGCAGCTCAAAGATTGATTGATTGATTGATGGTTGGTTTGGTGACCACGCTACTTAATTGAAGTGGGACTATCTCTTAATCATTGAATTGTTACCGTGAATAGTAAATTTATTATTTTTAATTAATTATTTATATCACAAATAAAGAAGTAAAATCTCTCGTTTATTTATATTTGGGTAAAATGCATTAAACCCCTGAACTATGACTCTATTGCGAGAAATCCCCTTAAAGTAAGCAAAACTCCCCTAAATTATCAATTTGTTGTATTCAGTGACTAGCCGGGAAACAACCGTTAATAGAAAAATGAAATTACCTTTTAGCCCTTAATTGAATGACATCGTCTTAATGGTTTTTTGTTCAACAGATGATGATGTGGCATTGTAATATCTAGAACTAATAAAGAAGCGACACGTACCCACCTAACCTTATCAATAACATCGGTTGTATCTAATGGGCGCCAAAGGTGTCCTTCTCTCGCGCCAAAAAGTCCCAAACTAGTGGTTGACAATATGGCAAACAAGTCTTATATACGCTGTTGACTCTCCGTCTGAAAATTCCAGTAATTTTCCTTCCCTCTTGCTTCCAATTTCTCTCTCTCAACCCTGATTGCTTGGTGTGTACTAGGTCGTGAAGAGATCTAGCCATTGACGATGCTACCGCGGTGCTAGGGTGTGTACTAGTTCGTGAAGAGATCACCGTGCGTCGACGAACTTGGCTTGCGGTTGAAATTGTGTTGTGGACGTTTTTCTTGATCGACGACCATTTCTGGACTGTCGGCGAGGAGTTGTTGTCATCATTGTGCCTTCGTCGTGAACCAGTGTGCAGATCCAAAGTTTGCAGAGATTGACTGTGCTGTGTATCCCACCGACGACCTCTCCGTTTGCTGACCCCGGTGGCTGTCGTGTGTAGTCGCCGTTGTGACTGATTTTGTTGTCGGTGGCTTCGTTTGAAACTGAGTGTGGTTCTTTGCTGTAGCCGAGAGATTTGCAGAGGCTTCACCGTCGTCCCTTGGCTGTTAATTAACTTGTGGTGGTCTCGATTCTCCATTCTGTACCTCGGATCCTTGTTTTTTTTGTTGTTGGTAGCAGATTGTGGTCCTCACCGGCGTTGACAGTGAAGAAGAAGAGCGGTGTTTGGCTACGGATGTGGAGCTATCCCAACCTTGGTTTTACTAAAACCAGGTTTGCAGAGATCTGGTTCTGGTTTAACCCGGTTCTGCAGACCGAAGAACGGTGTTTGGCTACGGATGTGAAACTATCCCAACCTTGGTTTACAAAAACTGGTTTTCAAGATCCGGTTATGAATCGACCTGTATTATTGGATCCGATGATGGCCATACCTAAGTTATAAAGTTCTATATCTTTCACTCTAGCATAAATAGCTACCTCATTCCCAGATTTACACACCAACACTCCAATTATCAATGATAAGAAAATGGGTTTATGAAATTGCTCTCCAAAATCCATATATTTTTATGATTTTCAGCCTCTTTCCTGCTTCGAATGTATTGTATATATTAGGAATATATATATGTAATGGTGAATATAATGGACTTTAACTGCTATAAGGGTATATGTGGTATTTTGTATTTTTACTAAGGCACATGGGTCACGTGCCATTACTCAGCGTTAACAATCAGATGGTCAACTAACGGATTTTCATTTTTTGCAACAAACAGGATAGTTTAGGGGGTTAAATGTATTCCTTAAAGTTTATGAGGGTTTTTTGAGAAAGAGAAAAAATTACAGGAGGGTTTAGTGCACTTTACCCTTTATATTTTGTATAAATAAAAAAAATATATTCGGTTAAATCATTCATCATTATTTTATTTAATTATTGGACGAATTGCAAAGAATCGTTCTCAATTTTTACAGCCCTTTGAATATTTTTGACAAAAAATACCTCTAACAATTATTTTGAGGGGTGATTTTAATTGGCCTGTGTAATTTTTTTTATTTTTTTTCTCCCGAAAGATATATATTCCTTTAGTCCAAATTTAAGTGTCGTTTTTAGGAGTAGTAATTTTTAAGGGAACATGTGGAACACGTGTTATCTCCCTACAAAGTTACCAACTTATCATTTTGAGTTTTGAATATAGAAGTTTGAAATTTTATACTCAAAAAACTTATATGGAAAAATGTGAACTATATTGTTTGAAAAAAAGAAAGTGGAAAATTATTTTGAGACAGACAAAAAGGGAATCACGACACTTTAATTGGCATCTGACCATAAGAGCATCTCCAATGGGATTGCCATATAAGTTGCCAATTCAAAATATAGCAGGTTAGTTAAAATTTGGCTCTCCAATGGGCTGCTATATTAGCTGCCAAAATTTGCCTTTGCCATTTTTTGTGCCAAATCTAGCAAAACAAATAATGCCAAATCTAACCGAAATATATGGGTTTTGAACTTTTGATTACAAAACAAGAATTACAGACCTTGATATATACACACACACACACACAAAATCAAAAATTACAGACCTCGATTAGTTAATAGTTAGCAATTGCAGAAAGAGGGGGTGGAAGCTTGAGAGTTGAGAGACAAGCTTGCGAACGGCGAACTAGAACTGGAACAATGGGTGATGAAAACTGAAAGATATGGGTTTTGATTTTTTGAACAATCTGAAATGATACGCCGGTATGGGTTTTGATATAGGTAATAGGTTTTGAACTTTGGATTCTTGCAGACAGTTAAATAAACTGAAATATATGGGTTTGAACTTCTGATTCTTGTAGATTTTGTAGTTTGTAGTTGCAGAGAGAGAGAGAGAGGGCAAGTTCTCAGAGTTGAGAACGAGAATAGAGATGGAGGCGATTGGGGAGGCTGAAATGATTTGCCCTAAAAATATATATATATATATTTAATAATAATATAATCAAATATATATAATATATATATAAATTTCCGAAAAAGAAAAAAAAAATATTATATAAAAAAATTAATTCACAAATAGTGGTAAAAAATAATTAAAATTTTGTTTTTTTTTTGGGTTCTTTTTTGACCAGATATTTTAAATTTTTGCTTCTTTTTAATTATATTTAATTTTAGTTTCCTTCTAATGTATACAACTTGACTTGAAATATGCATAATATTAATATTACTGATACAAATATGAATGTTGGGAATAGTATTTGAAAAAGAATGGTGGTTGTGTCAAAAAATAATATTTTGCATGAAATGTATTATTGGAGCAGAATTGCTAAAGTATAACATTTTGACACTATAACATCGGTCAAAGTATAGATTTGATATGTAAAAATGACTTTTAATATTGAAAATAGTCTAAGTGATTTCTTGCAAATTGGAAAAAGTTGAGGGAAGTTTTTTTACAATTCGCCCTTTGCTATTGCATTATAAGTCAAAATTCCAAATCTAATCTTAAACGGAGCTTACGTGCAACCTTGCCAACTAACTCTTTACCATTTACTTCTCATCCATTTCATTTATGAACTATTATAGAGTCCGTATTCGATGCGCCTCAGTGCGGAGGACTACTCAGAAATGTTCATATACAACACATGGATACACTAAATAACTACTATAATATACACATAAATAAATGGACAACATGAAATTTACATATACTGAAATGGTAACTCAATTAAAATTAGTTTTAATTTCCTGGTTCTAATTTCAAAAATCAAACTCCATACCATTACATGTACACAAAGCTAGAACTTTCTCACAAACCAACAGAAATTTTTCATGTTGCTTGCAAAATGTATATGTGTGTTAGTGCGTGTGTGTGAGAGAGAGAGAAAATAATTAAATGATCTACAGTAGCACGGATGAAAGACAGCGAATACGCGTGATAGAGATGGTCCAATATTGCAATGCAGAAAATGTTGGAAGGTTAGAAAAGCAGACAGTCAGGTGGGGAGAGAGAAGAGTGGGACCTGGTGAGAAAATAATTAAATGATCTACAGTAGCACGGATGAAAGACAGCGAATACGCGTGATAGAGATGGTCCAATATTGCAATGCAGAAAATGTTGGAAGGTTAGAAAAGCAGACAGTCAGGTGGGGAGAGAGAAGAGTGGGACCTGTGCAGGTACCACCAATGTGCTGCCTGCCATTTCTTTTTATTTAATTTTTTTTGTCCTTTTTAGATTATTTAATTAATTAGATTACAAGACAAATTTATTTTTCATTTCAAAAGTTAAGGAATCTTTTTATTTTTCATTTCAAAAGTTGAGGAATCTTTCTTAAAAAGAAAATTAAAAAAATTATCGGGGTTTATAAATCTTACCTACAATAAAAACAAAAATCTACCGAAAAATTATAAATACTCAAAATTATAGAATCATATGGAAATTTGTATCTCTTAGTCGTCCACGTCAC